CTTTAACTGTTATAAAATTATAAAAGCGTTCAGTCTATGAACAAAATTAATCTGTTAACAAATTTGTTTTAAAGATACAAATCATCTCTGTATTCTCGATAGTAGTAAAAATTTTTAGTCTGTAAATTAAAATGTCTTTAATAAGAGACTGTATTTTGTCTTTCAAACTTTCTGCCCTAAAAGAAAACCCACTGAAATGCCTATCAGCGAAGTGTTATCACTGAGCTCATCAGCCTGACTCCATCCGCTTTCTCTTCATCTCTTATACTTGTTTGTCCCTTTCCTTTCCCTTAACAAATATGTTCAGTTCTTTTGCCCAATAGGTTTTGTTTTCTATTTTTACACCACAACAAATCTATGGTCCTCGATTCCTAAAGCTGGAGCTTCCCTATCACAATATCTGTAATCCACATTCCGTTTTCACCGCAGCTTGTCAAAAGCAATTTCCCCCATCACCTACACAACACATAAAATTCCACCTTCTGTATAAAGTTTTTCTAGGCTAGAGCAAAAGATGCAATTTTGCTAGACCAATCCATCAGAAACAAGAGTTATTACCTGTGAAGCCCAAAATGCACTTATCACTTTACCAGTATATTCATTGATTTATGCTACTTGTTCAGTTGCTTGCCTATCTCCTATGTGTCTATGTTGATAGTGTGTGTGCTTTAGGCTTCTGAAAAGCAGGCATTTTATAGCTTCATTTTTACAGTATTACCTTGTACAATGTCATGCAAAACTAGGTGTAGAACTAATCCTTCTAATGTAGTTTATTTTCTACATAATCAATATATAATCTGATAATTTTGTATAAAAATAAATGAAATAAAATAAATCTTGTCCATAATTTAGACTCTAAAGGCTTTTAAAAATTATTAAGTATACGACTCTTTTAAAATGTCCTCCTGCAACAGGAGAAACTGTAGGTAAGTCAGTTGGCTTTAAGTTGGGGGTCACTTTCTTGGTTATACTTCCAGGACATGGAAGAGTTTGAACATCTTCACTAGGATGATAGCAGTACTCACTGCTATCCTGACAGCTCTTTTGGAATACATTACGGATCCAGAAGAGACTTTCCTAAGGGCTAATACTTCTTGGACTGAAGCCAAGGAGATCTAAAATACAGCCAATGAGTCCTTAAAAATTACATAAGGGGAGTCCTAAAGAAATATATTTTATCAATTTTAAAATAGAAATTCCATAAGCAGAGTCACTTATAATGAAAATTTTGGTATTCCCTCCTTTTCTACTTTTAAAAAGTTAATTCTCAATTATATTATTAGATACTATGAAAGTAGGCACATACTCTTACTAAATCTGTGGAGAAACAAAGAGTGCTCAGTTATTTCTCTCCATTCCTATTTTTTTTTTTCATAATTTTGCTACTAAAAGAAAGCAGGGTCTTCTTATTCTGTATCATGTGGTTTAATTATAATGAACTCTGGCTGAGATGTGTGAAGTAGAATTATAAATTTCAAAAAAAAAATTATATTGGCTGACTTAAGTTTGCAAGCATCCTAAATGAATTTAGACAATCCCTTCTACCACCCATTTTCCATAGTTCATTAGAATAAAAAAACTCTCGTGAAAGAATGTAAAAAAGTTTGGTTTTAAGTTTAAGCTTGGTTATGCAGTAAATACAATTAGTAAACCTGAACAAGGAAGAGATCTGGAAAATGAATCTAGGTGTGATACAAACAGTACCTTCCATTTTAAATAGCTGAATACTATGCAGCTATCACATAGAAGAAACTGACAGGGCTCTTTAAAAACCTTGTTTGGGATTTTAAGTTTCTAAATTTTAATCTCCAAAATCTTTTAAAAATAAACTTTACAAGCCATTGTAAAGGCAAAAACAATTACCATGATAAAGATAATAACAATATTAGGAGGAAATGATTACCAAATAATAAATTACTGTAGTGAATATAAAACATAGGGCTTTATGGGTGAATAAAACACTACTGTGGTTTGCAAAAACATTTAGTAGGTTAATTCAGAAACTCTCAAACTGTGTATGTTATAAATTTACTTGGTAAAGTCTATTGAAGTTTGACTATCTTTGATATTTTTTAAAATTAAATTTGTAAAAATATTTTAATAAGCTCTGACCTCCCTACCAGTGACCACTTTCAAATTAGGCTAATTTTCCACATGTTCAGTATCTGTAAGTCATCATTCTGGCTACTCTGGGAAAAGGAATGAAGAACCAAGGAAAGCAGAAACCTGTGCTTCCTTTTTTTTTTTTTTTTTGTTATTTATCTATTGTAGGATCATTTACACAATTTGAGAGATCCAGTGCAAAATGAAAATGCAGGGCCCTGTCTGCAAATTATTAAAAATTTAAGATGGCAACCGCAGAGCATTAAACCAAGTGCAGAGCCCTTCAGTCTGCTGGCCCTGTGTGACTGCACACGTCACATGCCCATGAAGCTGGCCTGCTCATTTCCCTACGTGACTCTTGACTTTGTTTCGTCCCCTCACCCAGTCTACTGCTTATTTCCTCTCATGTCAATCACCTCTGCCTTCACCCATCTTGGCCACCACATGGCTTACAGGCAGAGATCACTTTCATTCTCTGATACTGCTACTATCTTCAGAAGATATGCAATCTGAAAATGATGAAAAGCAAGGTCCACTGTTTAACACAGTATCTCTCAACGGTCTCTGAGTTATTTTAATTATAACCTAATCTTTGTATGATGAGAACAGAATAAATGCATAAAAAGATCAACTTGATAGAAAACTACACAGAGTACCAAGTAAATAATATGTGAAAGCAAGTAGATATAAACTTAAAATATGACCACGTATGTTAGTTTTTCCTACGATGGTGAAAAAAAAACTCTCTCAAGTAGAAGGTACACATTTAACTTTTAACCAAAAGTATCAAAATATCAGTCAGTTAACAAGATTTTTAAAGACAAAAAATTGGTAACTTTTTTAGTAAATTACTACCTGTACCTGTATAGGTAAATGCTGTATATAGGCAAGTAAAAAATGTATAAAGGCAGATAAGCAGAAGCTTACATTTATTATTTTTTTACATTAAATTTATTGGAATGACATTGGTTGATAAAATTACATAGGTTTCAAGTATACAATTCAGTAATACGTCATATGTATATTGTGTTATGTTTACCACCCAAAGTTGAATTTCCTTCCATTAGCATATATTTGACCCCCTTTACCCTTATCTAACAACTCCTCCCCCATTAAGAAATAATCATTTATTCTTTCCAAAACAAGGAAGAGAATTACAAACAAAAAAGACTTTAAGAGTAAAAAAGGGTACTTCGAAGTGCCCTTTGATAGATGACTGGATAAAGATGTGGTCTATATATACAATAAAATATTACTCAGAGATAAGAAAAGATGAAATATTTCCATTTGTAACAGCATGAATGGATCTTGAGATTATTATTCTAAGCGAAATCAATTAGAAAAAGTTGAGAACCACATAATTTCACTTATACGTGGGAAATAAAACAGAATGCAACAAACAAGACAAACAAAAACTCACAGACACAGACAACAGTTTAGTGGTTGCCAGATGGAAAGGGGGGAGGGGAAGAGCTAGATAGGGGGTCAAATATTTGACTTTGAATGATGAACACACAACGCAATATACAGTTGATGTACTATAGAACTGTACACTTGATAAATAAAGAGTAAAAAATAAAAAGGTTGTGGAAAAGGAAGGGTACACAGCAATTACAGAAGCAATGATTTACTGTATTAAGATGTACTCTTAAAACATAACTGCAATCACAAAATGAATTTGTTTCAAACACACTGTTCCCACTCTTAAAAAGAAAGTGATTCTGCTAGTGGGACTGAAAATTGGTATGGCTACTATGGAAAGTAGTATGGAGGTTCCTCAAAAAACTAAGAATTGATCTACCATATGCTCCAGCAATCCTTCTACTGGGTATTTACCCCAAAGATTTGAAAACTCATATTCGAAAAGATATTTGCATATCGATGTTCACAGCAGCATTATTCACAGTGGCCAGGACATGGAAGCAACCAAAGTGTCCTATGTTAGACGATTGGCTAAAGAAGCTGTGGTACATATACACAATGGACTTATTACTCAGCCATAAGAAGAGATGAAATACTGCCATTTGGAACGACATGGATGGACCTTGAAATAATCATACTAAGCTAGATAAGCCAGACAAAAAAGGTTGAAAATCATATAATATCACATATGTGGGATATAAACCTAAGAGTAACAAATGAACAGGACAAATAAACAGAGACCCATGGACATAGACAATGGACTAGTGGTTACCAGAAGGGAGCGGGGAGGGGGAAAATAAAAAAATAAAATGTTAAAAAAAATTATGTATATACAGTATAAAAAAAATAAACTGGCACTTAAAAATTTTTTTTTAAGTTATTTACTATTTTTAAATGTCCAAAGGATAATATACTGAATCTTAAGTGAAAATTTAGTATAATAAATACACATCAACAATCTGTTAATAGTCAACACTTACAGTTTATCCCTTAAAGACTATGTGGATTTTCAGCAGCAATTACCTTACATATTTTTGCCATCTACATTAAAAAGTATTTTTTATTATTTCAAAAACTAAGATGACTTCTGCAAAAACTTGAATTTTATATTATTAGCATTATCATGTTTTTATTTAAAGCGAAAGCATGAGCTGTTAAGAAGTATATTGTTTTATATTTTTTGAAATGTTTAAATAAATTTTATAAAAGTAAAGCTGAATATGTAATATCAATAATACACTCGTAAACAATCTTTAATATTCACAATATCAGGTGTCTTTAAGGTAAGCAAGATTCTGTAACATGTTGTTTAGATTACTTTGTCAGATCTAGCAGATAACTATTCTGAAGACACTTTTAAAAATGTTTTTTTTTTGGTAATAGTCTCAGAAATTATTCTATTTTTAAATACAAGAAACAAAAGAGAAAGTGATTCTAATTTTACACAAATAATTCTTCTTTAAACAAAGGAGTGATTTTGGTGTTTAAATAACTGAAGAAATGAGTTCCAACTACCTGAAAAAAAGGTCATTATTTATCTCTATGATATAACCTAATAGAAAAGAATCACAAAGTTACCCTTAATACATGCAATTCAAACATCATTAATTTTTAGTTGTTGGGGAGGTGAAGTTAAGCTCCTCTGTTATTAGTTAAGTGCAGTGGTTCTCAAAATACGGTCCTCAGAACAACAGCATCGGCACCACACGGGAACTTGTTAGAAAGTCTTAGAAATCCTGGGATCCCATTCCAGATCTACTAAATCAAAAACGATGAAGGAAGGGTCATCAATCTTTCTTTAAACAAGTCCTCCATGTGATTCTGATAAGTTTAAGAACCAGTGGCTTAATATGTCTTCAAAGTAAAGTATTTGAAGTAAAACTGTTCAAACTTCGTGTATTTTTAATTGAAAAAGTATCCCTAGACCAAATTAATAGTGTAAGTGCAGCTTAAAAGAAACGAGAAATCAATTTTGCAAATACATAAAATCTACTCTTTTTAGCAATAATGAAATCTAACCACATAAGAGTATAACGATGATTGAATGTAATGTCTTAGTCAACAACAGGTTAGGAAATTAAAACAAAAAAGAATCACCAAAAATGCTTTAAATAACAATAGTATATATTATGCATTGAGAAATCGTAAGTGCACAACACCTACTGAGCCCAAATCCAGTACAAAATGCAACATAAAAGGAATGCAATATAAAAAAGAGAAAGCAATACGCCTATTCTTTAAGGATAGCAAAATTAGAGAGATTCATCTGAAAATATAGCTATTTCACTACGGTTTGAATCAATTCCAACGTAAAACAGCACACCATCTGTCATTAACAACATTTACATCTTTATGTTTTTCTTTTTCAACATGAACATAAATCTTTCTGCTCCTGTTATAAATATACTGAAAATATTAGGGTCTTTTCTTATTTCTTTCTGATTTTTCAACTTTTCCTATTTCTCCTTCCTGATTAATATCTTTCTTGGTAAACCATAAAGTCATTTTCATCCACCTTTTCTTCAGTTTTGAAGCTCATAATAGTTTACATGATAATGGTTCTCTCACTTACTACTCTTCCTTCTGCCATATGTATTAGAATAAAGAACTTTCTAGGCCTCTTTTAAAAAGTATAAATCAAGCCAATGAAGCACATCTATTTTCTTGAGATCCCAGAACAAATAAAATTTCCAAAAGAGGCCACTGAGAACCACAGGAACTGTCTTCTAGTTAAATACCCAGGGCAGTTCTTCTGGCTCTGGCATTAGAAAATAAGTTTGTATACAGTATGACGATACGCTGTTATAACATTAACGAACATAACCAATAATCTTTAAGGAGAAGAAAATTAGCTCCCCTGATTCCCATCACGAAACATTTTTTTTATTATATGTCCTAAACTCCCTAAAAAAGCATTCTTCTAGTGATTTTATTGGACTATGGTCTGACTCTAACAAGTGTTCTTACAAGAACAGCATTTGATAGGCATTTATGTGGAAGAACAATTTCTTTAAAAATAAACATTATTCCATCTGAGACTTGAATATGCTGAAGCTCTAGAATAAGAATTATAATTCTTTAGTTTTACTGAATCATTTAAGCTACCAAAAAGTTGAATATAAGAAATCCCATAGTGTCTCTCCCACCTCCCCATACACACACACACACACAATCCTAATTATAATCCTAATTGCAAGACAGGAATTAAAATAAGCGTCTAATACAGGGTTCACTTTGAAAAAGTATTAACTAAATGCATACTCTAACAACAATAACTTACTGATAATTGATAAAGGTCATGGTTTACTGAATATCAGGCTATGCACTTAGTACTTTACGAACATTCTCTCTAATCCTCATGACAACTCTGCAACCTAATATTACTATTCTAAATTTTCACAGAATGAAACTAAATCATCCTCTAAAATCAAGCTTTTCATTTCAATCTGCCTAAGATTACACATCTAGTATAGTAAAAATGATATTCAAATCCAAACCGATTAATTCCAAATCCTGCTCTTTTCTCCTACATCATATTGCCTCTCCTAGATTATATTTATTACATTTATTATATATATACTTATATGATATTTGTATTGCATTACTTTTTTTGTGAATAATTTGTTGAGATTTCTGTTAGTAACAATAAACCCCCAAAAGTATGTATTAAATAAATTCCAGAATGTTTTTTTCCGAGTTTGGACTTAAATCCAATCTTCTTTGCTCCAAATTTTCAGCTACTATAAGTTGCTTCTGGCACAGAAAGATAAAAAAACAAACAATCCAATTAACAAATGGGCAGAGGACCTAAACAGACATTTCTACCATAAAAGACATACAAATGGCCAACAGACATATGAAAAGATGCTCAACTTCACTAGCTGTTAGGGAAATGCAAATCAAAACCACAATGAGATACCACCTCAAACCTGTAAGAATGGCTATTATCAATAGGACAAGTAATAACAAGTGTTGGAGAGGTTGTGGGGAAAAAGGAACCCTCACACACTGCTGGTGGGAATGTAAACAGGTACAGCCACTACGGAAAACAGTATGGAGGTTCCTCAAAAAACTAAGGATAGAATTACTGTATTACCCAGAAATCCCTCTTCTGGGTATCTACCCCTTAAAAATTGAAAACATTTATCTGTAAAGATATGTGCACCCCAATGTTCACTGAGGCATTATTCCATGCCAAGACATGGAAACAACTGAAGTATCCTTCAATAGATGACTGAATAAAGAGATGTGGTCCACATACATATACAATAAAATATTACTCAGCCATAAGAAAAAGTGAAATACTGCCATTTACAAAAATACGAATGGATCTTGAGATTATCATGCTAAGCAAAATAAGTCAGACAGAAAAAGAACCATATAATGCCACTTATATGTGGGATATAAAACTGAAAGCAACAAACAAAGACAAACAAAAACTCATAGATACATACAACAGTTTAGTGGTTACCAGAGGGAAAGGGGGAAGGGGAGAGGTAGATAAAGGTAAAGGGGATCAAATATATGGTGATGGAAGGAGATCTGACTTGGGTGGCGAACACACAATGCAGTGATGTATTACTGAATTGTATACTTGAAACTTATATAAGTTTATTAACAAATGTCATTCTGATAAATTTAATTTAAAAAAGACTCAGACTTGACAGTCCTTAAAAAAAAAATGAAATGGAAGCTCTGTACTTCCTGTGTCAAGCATTTCAGTATTAAGGAAAATTTAATTTCCAATATTCAGGATTGAGCATTTTATCCTTCATTTTTCATAAACCAAAGTTTATAAAAGTTCACTAAAAAACAATCAGAAGAAATAGGAATGAAGCTTGAATACAACAAAACACAGCAACTGTTCCAAAGTTAAAAGAGACTTAAGCAATCATCTAGTCATCCAATACTTAATTTACAAGTCAGAAAACCAAAAGCCAGAGAAATAAATGGCTGGCCAAGATCTCCACGTGATTAATCAAACTCTCCTCACACTCAGTCCAGTTCTATATCTATTCTTTTAGGCTTCCTCTTAAACTGACCTCATCATTTTAAGAATATCTTCTCCTCCTACCCACACAGTTGTTCTTCATCCTCTATCCTTTTCCTGGGATCATTATTCTTTAGCCACTCAGGTTAATACTTTGGTGCATTATTGGACAAGTATTTATTTAAATCCTCTTTATCCTACATTGAATCAGAAGACAAATCCTACTGCTCACATTTATACTTTATTTTCCATTCTGATTTCCACCACACTGAATGGCAACCTCCAACAGGAGCAGCATATTTTATTAATAATGAAAATCAGCAACATGGTCATTATTATGTCATTTAAAAAGATGATAATGAAATATGAAAAAAATAGATGTCATAATTAGGAAACAAAATTAAATGTATATTATGACTCTGATTGCATAAAATAAGTACGTATGCGGTCAAGACAAAATATTAAAATTTGAAAATAGTTTTCAAAAAATTATTTTAAAAAGCAATAACCTTAACAGAGGCTCTATTGATACACATAGTATTTGCTTTATGTTTTTTTGAAGCTTATACATTTATAAAACATAAAACAAGGCTCCAGAAGGGTATAGTCTCTGTATTATATTTGCAACTCTTCTGTATTTCCAAATTATTTCAAAATAAAGTTTAACAACTAAAATAAAGAAAATTCTTATTACTATACCAATGATCAATACTTTTAATGACAAAAATGTTATTTAGAAATATCCATATTATAGTATACTCAATAATCATACTTAATTTCGAATAATACGCATTTTTTCAGTATTCTACATTTATAAAGTATGAAAATAATGAAAACCAAGGATTTGTTCAAAGAAGTAAGTTCTACATGTTATAATATCAGTATTTATAGTCATATTTCTAATATATTTAGTTCCATGTATGTCATTTACCGAAATATGTGAGAGCTTATTACATGATCCAAGGGCTGTTAAAATCCTTGAACTGTTTAAAAAATTTTTTGTGTTGACTATTTTTTTCAAAACTGCATTCATTCATTCAGCAAATATTAACTGAGTATATAACATGAGCCAGGCACGGTACTTCTACATGCTGAGGATAGAGCAGTGAACTAAACAAAATCCTTGCCTTTACATCCCAGTGGAAAAAGGCAGAAAATAGGGTAAGTAAAACATATGAGATGGGAGATAGTAATAAGGCTTACAAGAAAAGAGACATAAAAGAGGAAGGAAAATTGGGGTGGTGTGGGGGAAATTTGTAATTTACACTGAGTGGCTAAAGAAAGCCTAAGTTGACAT